TTAAAACTACAAACGACATACAATTTTTTCGCCTACACACTGACCCCTATCGGTCCTCATTCAATGTAGTACTGGCTTCTCAGATATAATTGCATTTCATGTACAAACCACTGCATTTGGGCCTACACACTGACCCCTATCGGTCATCGGTGTACTACAGGTTTCTTAGACGTTTTTGCATTTCATGCACAAACCACTGCATTTTCACCAAGACACTGACCCCTACCGGTCATTCTGTGTACTACAGGCATCTCAGACATTATTGCATTTCATGTACGAACCACTGCATTTGTGCCTACACACTGACCCCTATCGGTCATCGGTGTACTACAGGTTTCTTAGACGTTTTTGCATTTCATGTACAAACCACTGCATTTTCACTGCATTTTCACCAAGACACTGACCCCTACCGGTCATTCTGTGTACTACATGCATCTCAGACATTATTGCATTTCATGTACGAACCACTGCATTTGTGCCTACACACTGACCCCTATCGGTCATCGGTGTACTACAGCTTCTTAGACATTATTGCATTTCATGTACAAACCAACGAACCACTGCATTTTCATCTAGACACTGACCCCTACCGGTCATTCGGTGTACTACAGGCATCTCAGACATTATTGCATTTCATCTACAAACCAACGAACCACTGCATTTGCGCCTACACACTGACCCCTATCGGTCATTCGGTTTACTACAGGCTTCTCAGATATTATTGCATTTCATGTACAAACCAACGAACCACTGCATTTTCACCTAGACACTGACCCCTATCGGTCATTCGGTGTACTACAGGCTTCTTAGACGTTTTTGCATTTCATGTTCAAACCAATTAACCACTGCATTTTAACCTACACACTGACCCCTACCAGTCATTCAGTGTACTACAGGCTTCTCAGATATTATTGCATTTCATGTACAAACCAACAAACCACTGCATTTTCACCTAGACACTGACCCCTATCGGTCATTCGGTGTACTATAGGCTTCTTAGAAGTTTTTTGCATTTCATGTACAAACCACTGCATTTTCACTGCATTTTCACTGCATTTTCACTGCATTTTCACTGCATTTTCACCAAGACACTGACCCCTACCAGTCATTTGGTGTAACTACAGGCATCTCAGACATTATTGCATTTCATGTACAAACCAACGAACCACTGCATTTGCGCCTACACACTGACCCCTACCAGTCATTCGGTGTACTACAGGCTTCTCAGACATTATTGCATTTCATGTACAAACCAACGAACCACGGCATTTTCGCCTACATGCTGACCCTTACCGGTCATTCAGTGTACTACAGGCTTCTCAGACTTTATTTCACTTCATAAGCAAACAAACTAACTACAGCATTTTCACTTTTATACTGACTCCTATCTGTCAAACGGTATACTACAGGCTTTTCAGACATATGGTTATTCCCCTCATAACATTCCCACTATAATTCTAATTACACAATAACACTTCCTTATAAATCATGCTTACTATGATATCATTCCTGCATACCTGCCTTCATAGGCATTTAGTTACATTTACTGACAATACGCATACATTTACCCAAGAATACACATACTATTTAAAGCACTATGCAGTTTTCCAGAGTCTAATACGGAATATTTGCACGCTTAAAATATAAGTCCTTCCAATTATGTATTTTCACTTATTAGGTTATTCAGCTGCCAGTCATGGTTCACTACACTCATGTTTCGGGGTACAGTTGTGTTCCATATCACACATGATATAACACTCCTGACAAGTTAATTTCCTTCAAACAGGGGCATTACAAGCATACAATAAACATTGGGACAGAGCACTTTGCTCTATTAAACTTGCATAACACACATATGGATATACGCTTTTAAATGTCTATATTCGATTTTCATACATTGTTTTACCCGTCTGGGATACAGGTATTAATAACCTTTACGACCAGTAAGGGTATCTAATCATACTACCAGGTACATACACCTGCTCATGTGGTATATACATACATTTTCTGTTTCCCCCTGGGTATATCCTTAGCGTACTGGCAATTAGGGACTATAGGTTTCCAATAGATATTTTCCTTTCTTGGCATCTACGCCTGTCGTATAGTGGTCCCGCGAGGCCAACACCCCGCCTCAACGCTCGGAGGCAAACACCCATCGGGCCACTCGTGAGCTAGCCGCCTCGCATGGTATATAGAGAGGGCCTCACCTGTCACTCCCTTCCCCTTTTTTATGGTTACAGTCACCGAGAGGCCAACATCCTGCCACTACGTTTGGTGGCCACAAAAATCCCCTCGCGCCATTGCATAGATAGAGCCTCTCAAGCCACTTGGCAACTAGCAGGGCCTCACCTGTCACCAAACAAAGGATTAATTGTTTTGCCTTGCGGCTTTAGCTAGCAAGCCAGTACTAGCACACTGTGGGTTCATATAATAATGGCTATCTTCATATTTTTTAGTATGTATCAAGCAGGTGGTAAGGATTTCTCTCTACCTAACACTTCAGCTAGAGTCAACACACTTTCACTTGGAGATGTTGCTAGTCCCACAGGACAATTTTGTCCCAACACAGCGGACGATCACGTTTCAGGCTCCAGGCTCTAGCACCTCTGGTAGGACGTAGCGAACTACCCGAGATAAATTGGGTCGTCTCATTCTCTTTGGCAAATCCCAGATTTGCAACAATTTCCATGTTGGCACATGTAGTTTCAGTGCATGCAGACTGTTGCAGATATGTTCCCAATATGTCAGGGCACATGCAAAACCATGTGTCCCAATAAATGTACCCTGAACCTTACTTCTCGTCTGTAAACATTATGCATTTCCAGTACTTTCTAACTTATCACCCTTCCAGACATTTAGTTTATTTCCTAATCTCCGATTTTAAAGGCCTTCTGTTCAGGTATTGCCATATACTTTTGGGGAAATCTAGAAATGGCAGAAATATTTCTACCTGGGCCTCTCCGATCTACACTATTTACAGTGTGGCGCAATCCCATTGTAACTGATCATAGACTTATCTGCACCTCACGCCTCGGCTACCCCATAATCTCAACTCCCTCATACTCTCCGAGGAGTTTTCATTACAGTATGCCACCATTGTTCATACCATGACAACTCACTCAAGCAGGGAGGGGAAGTCTGGTTAAGTAAAACTGATATCACAAACGCATTTCAGACTGCCACCATCCACCCTGCACTGGCACTTACAGGGCATTTATGGGCAGCAGTTATATATTTCTTCTCCCGCTTAACTTTCGGGTCAAGAGCAGCCCACAATCTTCAATATATTCGTTGAACTCTTTACTGGTTGTGGTTAAACATATCCAGATGCCCCACAGTCATACACTCCCGAGATGATTTCTTGTTGGTCAAAGGGAATGCCTTTCCCTCTAGAAGCTTCAAGGAAGCCATTAGTATGTCTGAACACTTGGGTGTCCCAGTATTCCCTAAGGTCACAGAAGACCCAGACACTGTCGTTACATTCCTGGGCATACAACTTGACTCGGCATCCATACCAACAAGTTACCACGCGAGAAATAGGAACAGTCGCAACAACACCAATTACCACCTCCTGCTTGGTACTTGCAACCACATGGAACTACAATCCCTACCAGGTTCCTTAAATTTTGCCATGCACATCGTACCGCAGGCCACGCTTTCATCTCAGACCACTTTGCTTTTTCCTCCCTCCCGAATGATGATCAGGGGCTGTCCCTAGACAACCAAGCCATGGCAGACCTACACATATGGTGGACTTTCTTAACCACACGTAATGGTAAATTATTGTGGCAGCTGCCGTGACAGCCGCCATGGCAGGGGGTCATTTATGGTCAAGGTCATGGATTACATGAACCTCGCCAACATAGCCGGGCTCTGACTAAACTGGCCTTGTCCACCAGCACTCAACACGCTTGCTACAGGGTTTTCCACTTATACAATACGTTTCATGTCGGACCATCACTTAGATAGCTGGTTTGAGGTTTCACCACGTATGTCCTTCGCCTCTTTTTTGCCACCTTAAGTTAATAATTCTCGCACAACACAGTTAAACTTCATCTCACGGGCATTCAACCCTATACGTATTTCTCCATCCCAAACAACAAGGCTTCCTATCCTCCTACCCCATACATGCCTTACTTAGAGACATGGCCAAGCGGACGTTCCCGCTAAAACTAAATACTGGCCATAGACATACAATGTTCAAACCATGACAGAACCACTCGACCATGCACTTCCGAGCCACGCACCAATGCAGTTATCAAAACTGCTACCTATCTAGCCTTTAACGGCTTTCTCAGGCCAAAACAATAACTCACTATCAGCGGCCAACATCATAAACAAGAGTACCTGGTGACCTCTTATCCTCTAAAACACACAGACCACTATGTCCGGTCCCTTCCTAAAACTAAGATGAGTCAGAGGGGCGAGCCAGTGCATATAACCTACTACCTTACAAGCAATGCTGGGTGCCCGGTTAAGGTACTGATTACGTTCTTGGGCACGCCACCATACGCACCACTGAACCATTACTGTCGCTGTACGATACTGTCCTTACCACAGGTAAGTTCATGCACTATGTCCACCTACTCATTCATCGTGCTCGAACTAAACCCTAGCGACTACTCAGGGCACTCCTTTTGGATAGGAGCAGCTTACACAGCCCATAGCCAAGACATCCCCGCACACGTTAAGACACGGGGCCGCTGGGAATCATAGGCTTATGCGATGTACATACCACAGCCGATTCAGGAATTAGGACGCTTTCATTAAAATGTCTAACTGATGGTTAACAAATGCACTATGATCCTGTATAATGTTTTGCATTAATATGTCTCTTTTTGCCCACTTTTTACCGGCTTACAGCATACGTCGGTTTCGGCACACCTCAACCGATTATTCCTAAAGCTACATCTCTACAACCCATCTTATTCTATATCATATGAGAATGCCCCGAACACAAATTGGAAGGCATGGCCTGAAGTTGTGGGAGGGGCTATAGACCTATAAAAGGGACTCCCCCCTCTCCCTACTTACCTTTGTTGGTCAGACGAATAGCCCCACCCTCCACTCCCATTGTTCATATTTCCTCTATGTAAGCCCACTTTTTACCGGCCTACAGCATACGTCGGTTTCGGCACACCTCAACCGATTATTCCTAAAGCTACATCTCTACAACCCATCTTATTCTATATCATATGAGAATGCCCCGAAAACAAATATATATAATGTAATACTAAGTGTATTGTTATATTAATATGTACTTATATTAATATAAAAATACACTTATAATTAAATTACACACGTATATATATATAATATATATAATAAGTATATATATTGTATATATATATTATTATAAAATATAAATAATAAGTAATTTAAATAAAATAAAAATTTATTTAAATAATAATAATAAAAAATTTAAAAAAATTATATAGCTATATGAAATTTTATTCTAACTGTATTTTAAAATTAATATATATATATTTATATCAAAATACACTTAGAATGAATTTGTATATATATCTATGTATATAAAAATAAATAAAAATAATAAGAAATATACATATGTCCATACATACAATTATATAAATATACACGTAGACTTCAAAATATAAATATGCATATATATTTAAATTCTACGTGCGTATTTATGTAATATTTTTACATAATTCAGTAATTTTATTGATTGCAATTTGAGGACCTGCCTGCCAACCCAGGCCGAAATTCCAGAGAATTTAATTTGCTAGCACTGTATTTTACCCTGTAACGTTCTACGACACCCTAAAACCTGTACATGGGGGGTACTGTTTTACTCGGGAGACTTCGCTGAACACAAATATTAGTGATTCACAACAGTAAAACATATCACAGCGATGATATTGTCAGTGAAAGTTACTTTTGTTTGCATTTTTCACACACAAACAGCACTTTTACTGATGATATAATTGTTGTGATACATTTTTCAGTTTTTAAACACTAATATTTGTGTTCAGCGATGTCTCCCGAGTAAAACAGTACCCCCCATGTACAGGTTTTATAGCATTTTTGAAAGTTACAAGGTCAAATATATGGGTCAAATATTTTTACATTGAAAATGGCCAGGTTGGTTACGTTGCCTTTGAGAGCGTATGGTAGCCCAGGAATGAGAATTACCCCCATGATGGCATACCATTTGCAAAAGAAGACAACCCAAGGTATTGCAAATGGGGTATGTCCAGTCTTTTTTAGTAACCACTTGGTCACAAACACTGGCCAAAATTAGCGTTCAATTTAGTTTTTTTACTTTTTTCACACACAAACAAATATGAATGCTTACTTTGGCCAGTGTTTTCGACTAAGTGGCTACTAAAAAAGACTGGACATACCCCATATTGAATACCCTGGGCTGTCTACTTTAAAAAAAATATGTACATGTGGGGTGTTATTCAGAGATTTATGACAGATAATAGTGTTACAATGTCACTATTGATAAATTTTGAAACCGCAATATCCTACTTGTACCTATAGCCCTATAACATGCAAAAAAAAAGCAAAAAAGCACGTAAACACTAGGTATTTTTAAACTCAGGACAAAATTTTGAATCTATTTAGCAGTTTTTTTCATTCGCTTTTGTAGATGAGTAAAAGATTTTTCAAGTAAAAGTCAAAAAACATGTATTTTTTTCAATTTTTCATCATATTTTTTTATTTTTTTTAAATTAAAATACATGAGATTATATAAATAATGGTATGTAAAGAAAGCCCCTTTTGTCCTGAAAAAAACAATATATAATTTGTATGGGAACAGTAAATGAGAAAGCGAAAATTACAGCCAAACACAAACACCACAAAAGTGTAAAAATATGCCTGGTCGCAAATGTACAACATCGCAAAAACAGTCCAGTCCTTAAGGGGTTAAAAAGGCAATGCTTACATTAAAAAGCCTACAGGGACATACTGCTGCCTAGTAACAGTCACTCAGATGGCCAGTAGAGTCCTTGGTCTGCACAGTGTGCAGCACCTACTTTCATAGTGTCCACGCTCTGTATAGAGGCGCTGAATGTTCCCCATAGAGATGCATTGTTTGTGTGAAAATTTAATAAAAATACAAATGTTGGAACTCGTGAAAAATTGGTGCTACTATCACTTGTGTGGATCACTCAACACACACATAAAGTGCAACAAAGTGAAAATGCGAAATGTGGTGAGAGCATTCAGTAAATATAAATATTACCAATATTGGCATAGATACTTTCCTAAAAATAAGAATAAAAGACCATAGGGTAATTTAGTTTACACATATAAAGAAACCTATATTTTTGGTCCAACTCACATGGTTCTGAGTCACTTAAAAAGCTGACTCAAACTAGAGGTATAAAGCGGAGATAAATCGCTGGTATACTAGACTCCTGTAGTAGTCAGGATAGATCCTGTTCGTATTAGTAGTGGTTTCCTCCCCAAAAATGCAGGATCAGGGTAAAAGCACTTGTTTATTTAAACATAAATAAAACAAATTAATAGTAGATACAGAGTAAGTCCATATATCTTGCCACTCGACGTGTTTCGGCACAGTTCCTTCTTCAGAAGTGGAAATGCTGATAGGCACGTTGTTTTGCTGCGCATGCGCAATATTCTCACTTGGCTAAAATCATTATGACTGACCAGCCATGGTGAAATGGGCACGGCGTGGCAAAAAGGTGGATTAAAAATAACTTAATCGTGCAATTGGAGGAGGGCAGATACCTAAACACACACATTGGCACACACACTGACCGAGGCACACACTAAATATATATATTCTATACACACACACACACAAACAAACTGAGATTTTTATTTTAATTGAAATCCACTCATCCTCCCTACCATTGGGAGAGCTGAGTGGATCTTTCTCTGGTGTCCAGTGGGGCTGCTCTCTTACTGCGTGCGATGGGGCAGTAATCGACCTGCAGCTCCTCTCTGCTCCTTCATACTCTCTGTAGTGATGCTGGGGCCGCAGTGATGTTATATTCTGGCTCCAGGCATCATTAAACAGTGAGGGAGCAGAGAGGAACTGCAGGTATATTAATGTTCCTGTGGGCGGACGCCTTAAAGGGATAACATCCCAGGTGCAAGGGCAAAATTTCTAGTCACCATGGCAACCGGACACCTGGGATTTGTTGAACCCTGGACTATAGTATCCCTTTTAAAGAAATATAAACTTTGTTTTTTAATATTTTTTTTTTTGTGGTGTGGCTTCTCTGAGATAAAGGGTGCACAGTTAGCTTAAATCTTTCCTAGCTTTGGGGGAGTAAAAACATTCATGTTTTGTTTCTTGATGTTTAAAGAATTAATCAGTGGTAAAAGGTGGATATTTTTTTTTACGTTATTTTCATAAAACAATGTGCTTTGAGGTGAACCATTTAAACATTGAAATGGGCAGAATTCGGGATACCTGGGTTTTTGGGTTTGTTTATTTATATACAAAAACCCGGGTAGCTAGAATTCAATGTTTAAATTGTTCACCACAAAGCACCTTATTTCATGAAAATAAGGTAATGAGTGTTGACCACCTTTTTATATAGGGAGGAAACTAAAATAAAACTTGCCCAAAGCACTTTTTAAAATGGAATTATATTTTATTGCTTTAACCCAGGCGCTCGACAAATCCCAGGTTGCCATTGTGACAGAACTTTGTCCTGCCGCTTGCGATTGATCGGACCAATCCCTCCTCCTCTCTTACTCCCTATATAATACTATAAGTACTGACCAGTCTAACTGCTATAAAAAAGTGGATATAACACTTTAAAATCATTTTTATCTCTGTGAGCAATATATTGGTTTTTTTTTTTCTCCTCATTTCATCCATACCATTGAAGAGACTAAAACAATCATCCCTAAGGCAAGGATTGTAACGACTGATTCTTTGACCTTATAATGATTACTCCTTTCTAGTGAGTACAATATTTTTTATTTCACTCATTTCATACTGGAAATATTACACTAATTGACTTTCTATTCTTGCATATTCATCATAAAAAACCTCATACAGTACCTAAACCTATCGGTGGAGATCATACGCTGTTGTGACTGGAGCTTGTTTGAAGCTTCTTACTATGTGAGTGTGGAGATTTGCACATAAGTGTTATGACGTAAAAATAGACCGTTTTTTATTTTTTTAATGCACCCACAAATAAAGAATTGTACACTAAAGAAAGCAAATTAATTCGGTTGCTGCCTAAAATCATGAACTCTCCTATATTAAAGGATCACTATAGGGTCTGGAACACAAACATGTATTCCTGACCCTATAGTGCAAAACCCACCATTTAGGTGTCTTGCCCCCTTCCTCCCCCTTACCCTCTCTATAAAAGTTTAAAACTCACCTTATTTCCAGCACAGCTCGGGTCTTCCCCCTTTGTGACAATCGGCACGGGGCGGGGCCAAATGCCGTTTTGGCCAATTGGGACCTCCTGAATCAGTGCATCTCTGTGAGGAAAATTCAGCGTCTCCATGCAGAGCGTGGGAACGCTAAACGACAAGACTGCTTACTGTGCAGCCGTGAGCCAGGAAGCCCCTCCAATAGCCATCTAAGGAGTGGCCACTTGAGGTGTCCATAGGGGCAATGTAAACACTGCCTTTTTTTCTGAAAAGGCAGTGTTTGCATGGAAATGCCTGAAGGTTGTTCTGGTGACTATAGTGTCCCTTTAAAGTATTTCTTCTACTATTAGATGCTACCTGCTTCTTCTTCTCATGGGTGTATCATGTTTTAACTTTTCAAGGGTTTGAGGGAAATATCTTGTGTTCAGTGTTCGCTTCCAAAAGTAATCAGGTGATTGGTCTATTAGTGCTTGTTCATCCTTGTGTGTATTGCTTTCCCAGGTCACTTCCGCATTCAAACGAGTCTTAAAGTTAAAAGCAGTAACCAATCCCTACACTCATTAAAAATTAAATAACCCCTTCAAAAAACAAAAAATCTTCACCATTGTGTTTTGCAGTCATAATTGGATCCAAAACCCTTGACAGACTCCTCAATGCAGCTTGATATGCCATTTCTAAAGTTGTAAAGATTGATAACTTTTTTGTCCAATCAATTGCTTCTTGTAGGGGCACTTGTCATTTGCTGCAGTTCTATGAGAATTAAATCCAATGTTTGTCATGGCATACTAACATTCTGGCTTTGAACGCAAAGTATTTGACTTGTTCAATCTATTTTAGCCCAACGTGCCTAGTGGCTCTAGAGACATTGAGATTTTAAAATCTAAACTTTCTCAGAAACCGCATTGTTTTTAATTTGCAGTGCTACAAGGGCAGTATCTTTGCCCGAAGATCATTTAATTAAGTGGGCACACAAGACACCTATATAATAATGCATTTCATAGGATTTGATCTCATTAAAGGGATACTATAGTCGCCCAAACAACTTTTAGCCGTTTTAGTGTATAGATTCTGCCCCTGCAGTCTCACTGCTCAATTCTCTGCCATTTGGTAGTTAAATCACTTTTTGTTTCTGGCAGAGTGTTCTGCTGGAGATATAGACCACAAGCTCTTTTGTGCTAGCCTTCTCTAATCTACCCAGCGGACCCATTTTGGTCTGGTAGTCTATCATGTCATAGATTTATAACTCGTTTTATCTTAGAATAACAGATGTGAGTGGGGATATCCCATGCAAATGGTTGGCGACCAGGTGTTGTGGCACCTTATGTCAAAGAGTGGTTTGTTTTGTATTGACCTTTTAAAGAGACATGTATCACTTTTGAGTTTATTTTTTTTAACAAGTATACCAAACAAAATAAAGCAAGAAAAACTTTGAAAACTGTGTAATAAACTTACTATAAACTTGGTCAGATTGCATTATTGGGCACAGTTGTCTCAAATTGATGAATGTCCCTTTAATCTTGGTGTCATGGAGCCATGGTTTTATAGGAACCGCTAGCTTATTTTCCAAATCATACTATTCATGGATGACAGTGTTCAAAACTAGATGTAATGGCACGATGCTATGAGTTACACGTGCTTTGATTTGTTGCACCAAAACTGGACATAAACAGACTTCTCATGGGTGTATCATAAATGAGCTTTGTTGCATTGAGAACTATATAAATGGTTTAGCTCACATGCAATACTGTACAGACAGGCCAAACACTGGTTAAAAAATAAATAAATAACAATTGCTTAAAAGTAGCAGTCATGGGTAACTCATTCTAAAAGAGTTATTCACTAAAGTGTGAATTTAGTTTGAGCATTTATTTTTTTAAGGATGGAAAAAAAAAAAAGTACATGATGAAGGATTTAACTTTATCTCTGTTTATGGGGATATCAAAGCATGTGGGTATTCATCCTAAAATATTCTGATATACCATCGATGTCAAATACTTTATGAAACCTTTTGGTTTTATCAGTGTTTCTCATGGTTTGAAAATATTTGTTTATGCATTTGCAGTGTGACCATTTGCATGATGAAATTAATATGTGTATATAAGCTGTCACTTTCAATGATTAAATATATAAGTTGTTAAATGCTGCAATAGTTTTAAAGCGTGTCCTACTTATATTGACTTCTGGGACACATTTTATACATTGTATAAATCTTGGATATACTGAAACATTCAAACCAAAATTCTAGGTTAAAAACGACAAACATTTAAAAAAAAAAATGACACTTTCAAAGTGCTAACTCTACCCTGTAAATTCCAGGACAACAGTGCTTTATAGAAATGCCAAAGGTTTCTGGAAGCTGTAGTACAGAATAATTTTTTTTGTTTGTTTTATTTGCTATTCCAGGTTATTAGGTAAGACTGTAATGTATATTTCTGCTTTTATTAGGTGAGAATGGAAAGCGAAATGGCAGATGCCATTATGGAGGATTCAGAGACCTTCATGAAGAGGAAAGAAACCAAAACCTATCAGAGACGTCGTGAGGGTGGGGCTGATGATGATGGCTGTGTTATAGTCCAAGCACAAGCAGATGTAAGTGAAGTACCCCATGATGTTAACAGCAATGTTCAGATGGTGATGATGGAACAGCTTGACCCCACCCTCTTGCAAATGAAAACAGAGGTAATGGAAGGCGTGATTCCTCAAGAAGGAGATGGTACCGTGGATGACACACAGATTATAACATTGCAGGTTGTAAATATGGAGGAACAGCCTATTAACTTGGGCGAGCTTCAGCTTGTCCAGGTGCCAGTAGCTGTTCCTGTAGGCACTGCAGGTGAACTTCATACAGCTTATGAGAATGAAGTCTCTAAAGAAGGTCTTCAGGAAGGAGAGCCAATGATTTGTCACACATTGCCTCTTCCAGAGGGTTTCCAAGTTGTTAAAGTTGGTGCAAATGGAGAAGTGGAAACACTTGAACAAACAGAGCTACATCCTCAAGATGACCCTGGCTGGCAGAAGGATCCTGATTACGTGCCCCCTGTTAAAAAGACAAAGAAAACCAAGAAGAGTAAACTCCGCTATACAGAAGAAGGGAAAGATGTTGATGTGTCAGTTTATGATTTTGAAGAAGAGCAACAGGAAGGTCTACTTTCTGATGTGAATGCAGAAAAAGTAGTTGGAAATATGAAGCCTCCAAAACCAACAAAAATTAAGAAGAAAGGTACGTTCGTAAAGTGTATCTGCTTTCTAAACTGTCAGGGCTTTTCATAAACCGTTAAATATATGTCTTAGTTAGAGGCAGTAACTATGTAAGTAGATGTTCAACTTCAGTAAGGTGTACTCATTGTACAGTAAGAGATGTCAATACCATTTCTTTGTCACTTTAAACTAGATTTATTTAGAGTGGTTATTTGTTCCTAGTTTTGAACCCAAAAGTGTATCCCCTCTTCAATTTAGTGGACCTTGCCTAGTAGTAACAGACCTATATTTATAAGGTCTCCAACTGCCCACACTATTTACTGTAATGCTACTGCCTTTTACAGCACAATGTGTTAACTTTATCTTGTCTCCTCCTCTATTGAACATTAATCACACACAGGAGTCAGCTGCAGGGAATTAACAGCACTATATAAGAACTGATGCATTGTACACACTGCAATAAGGGAAGTACATAGTGAAGCCGTGTGTGTCACAGCCAGGGGATGACGGGACGAGTGGCTAAGGCTGCAAAAGCAAAGTGATTTAACTCCTAAATGGCAGTGAAATTTCAAGAGAACGATCTGTAAACCAACACCATTTGTTTGAGCCTAGAGCAGGATTGCCCCTAAAAGGTAGATCTCCAGATGTTGTAGAACTACAACTCCTTTGCTTTGCATGGCTTTACAATAACAAAGTCTCATGAAAGCTGTAGTTTTAAAACATCTGGGGATCTGCCTTTTGGGCACCACTGAATATCCCTTTAAATCTCTACTTGATAAAAGTTATGAGACTGAGGTCATGTAGTTGTATGTGTAGATACTACTTGTTTATTTTTGCCTATTAATTATTTATATGGTGGGGTGTGTGTGTTTGTTTGTGTTTAAAAATGGCACAAACCAATTGTAGTTTCTAAAATGTGTGCAAATTGTTCACTCCTGTTTTGCTTGTTTGTTTGCATAGGTGTAAAGAAAACATTCCAGTGTGAGCTGTGTAGTTACACCTGCCCCAGACGTTCTAACTTGGACCGCCATATGAAAAGCCACACTGACGAACGACCACATAAATGTCATCTCTGTGGAAGGGCTTTTCGAACAGTTACTTTGCTTAGGAACCATCTAAATACCCACACAGGTCAGTTTTATACATGTGTTTTATTCTTCTCCACCTCCACCATCCGGTTCATTTGTAAAACATAAACCGCTTTTCATCAGCCAACTTGTAAATACACAACCTGGCCAGTAGTATGTGGACACCTGATAACTATATGAGCTTGCTGGAGTTTCCATTCCAGTATGGAGTTGCCATCCCCTATGCAGTTTTGACAGCAACCACTCTTCTGGGAAGACTTTACACAAGATTTAAGATTGGGTGTCTTCATGACCTTCTGTCTGTGCACAGAGGTATAACTGTAGGAAAGGGCCTTCCCCAATTGTTTTCTCAAAGTTTTTAAAGTACCCAATTGTTTTGTAATATTCTAGCATAAAAATAACTATTCACTGAAACTAAAGGCTTGACCCAAAAGCAGAATTATCTCTCCTGCAGAAAACGTTACAGTAGGCACTATATATCACAGTAGGCAGCACATTCTCCTGGTCATAGTGCATGGAATCTGTATGTGCAGTGTTTGTCTATGAAAGACACATACATGCTTTAAGTCTTCTGCTGGCAGTCATGTGAAGTCTGTGTATATTTGATGTATAAAGTCAGCATTCACACACAGTCTATTGCATTTAAGATTTTTAGAGGTACAATGACACCAAGTGTCCACCGATTCATAATAAGAGACAGGGTCTCTCCGAGCTGATTGTGACCAATTGCACAGCACAGTTCACAATCGGCTGGGAAGTCATGCTTAATTCACTATTACAGAAAAATGTGATGGCGACAACATTCCACTATGTTTTCGCTTGGAAACCTATGTGCTGGAAGTAGAGTTAATGCTGGATTTGGGTTAGGGATAGCCCATGGCAGGGGTAGGCAATCTTCAACACTCCAAATGTGGAATACATCTCCCCTGATGCTTTACCACCAGTATTATGGCTGTAATCGCATTACAGGAGATGTAGCTCACAACTTCTGGTGTCCCTAGGGGTAAGGGTATCCTAAATTAAAGAGGAATCCTAAATTAAGGTGGAAAACACTAAACAAATTCTAGGTTTTGTTTTTACTCAGATCTTGGACTGTTGCAGGTTAAACATGTTGCTTCACTTTATACAGGAACTAGGCCACACAAATGTCCTGATTGTGACATGGCCTTTGTAACCAGTGGGGAGTTGGTGAGACATCGTCGTTATAAACATACACATGAGAAACCTTTTAAGTGCTCGATGTGTGATTATGCTAGTGTTGAGGTAAGAAACGTTTGCCACTGAAAATTGTTTGTATATGTTGTTTTATTATCAAACTGCAAATTTATGTAAATTGTGCAACTACATTTTTAAAGGCTCCAAGCACCATAACCACTACATACTGTTGAAGTAGCTATGCTGCCAGGAATGTCCTTGCTCTTCCCTAGAGTAATTTGTTAGAATGGTTTGGCAATTTACCTGGATCCTGCCTGGTGCCTTTTGCAGAAGAATCCAGTTGAGGTAAACAGGGCTGTTAATGAAGGTTGAGATCATTAGCTGAGTTCTGTCCTGTGTCAGACCTATTTCAGCTGAATGAAAAAGACACATACATTCTGCAGAAGAAGCCAGGTCGGGTTATAGGTGCCTGGGGAACTCAAGTAAGTAGAATAGTTTTACAAGTTGTTACTTTGTGATTGGGACATGACACTGACATCATAACCATTACAGCTTGCTCCAGTTGTTCTGGCCCATGATAAGTGTTTTTTGTGTGTGATAATTCTAGGTACTATTTCATTATTTTTCTTTTTTAACCTACAAGGGGAAAAAAGGGCCATTTTTTTTTGTGGTGTAATTCATAAAAGTCTTCATGTTGAATCCTGACTTGATTAGTTTTCACCAGGCAGAGGGAAGGCTTAATCTAATCCTTGACTGTCAGTGATCTGATTCTGATGACATGCAGTGCATTTTCAGTTTAGAGTGCTGTGTATTTCTCTTTTTCAAATTTCCAGTGACACCATAACGAACTGATCTGAAAGGAGTCCTTCATAAATTTTAACTAGTTATGAGAATTTGCCTTATTTTCTGTAGAGACCTGGGTGTTGTATGGCAGTAGTTATTAGGGGTTTCAATTGGACACTTTTTTTTTTTTTTTTTTTGCTTGCCAAATGTGGACATTTAAATATTTCTAAATCGGCTCAAAAAGTTTAGATACTAATGTAGCCATTTGTGCTAAACTGGATGTGTTCCTATTTTTGGAATAGTCTGGATAAATTAAGTGTGTGGTAAATTTAGAGAATAGTAAATAATAGCTTACTATTCTGCAATTTATCCTTTATTTCCTGGATACCTACCAAATGTTCATATTTTATGTGGTATGGTTGTCTTCTTTAAATTTAATTATTGCTTTAATTAAAGACTTGACTCTGTCTAATATGACTTCCTTTTCATTTTAGGTCAGCAAATTGAAGCGCCACATTCGTTCCCACACTGGGGAGCGACCTTTCCAATGCAGCTTGTGCAGCTATGCTAGCAGGGATACTTACAAACTTAAGAGACACATGCGAACCCACTCTGGTAAGTAATATAAATTCATTTTTTCTAGATGCAACACCCAAAATTTATTTTCAGTGTGTTTGTGGTCTCTCCTCCGCATTGTTAAATTTGTCCAGTGTGTGTGTGTGTGTGTGTAGGAATAGCTGCAGCCATGCACATACCTTGTGGGCAACTTGCCAAAACTTTGAACCCTTGATACAAACAGCAAGAGTATGGATGCTTCCAGCTAAATGAGCAATTACACTCTCTTAATGAGTACTGCTGCAGTATAAACTACTTATTCACATTCCTGAGCAAGTATTTAATATGAGATTTGGCTCTAAAGAGCAGAACTGGAAACTGGTATTTCCTGGTCAAGGAGGATTCTGCTGACAACACTTGCTGTTGCAAGCACAACAATGTTATGGTGTTTTTTTTGTGTGCATGTGTATGCTTCTACCTGTTCTGTTTTTAAATGGCTTTCAAATGTTTGGCATGCACCATTTTATAGAGATCATGGCTAATAAATAAATAGTTAGTGGGGAATTTTTTTTTTTTTTTTTTATTTATTTTTTTTTGTTCCCCCTCTAACCACCTAATATCAGTGACACCTGCTCTGTCAGAATTTATTTCCTAATGCTTTCTCAAGCAGAAAAGGTATTAATGCGAACAGTTTTGTTTTTTCAGGTGAAAAGCCATATGAATGCTACATCTGTCATGCTCGCTTTACCCAGAGTGGTACCATGAAAATGCACATTTTACAGAAGCACACTGAAAATGTGGCAAAATTTCATTGTCCTCACTGTGACACAGTTATTGCAAGAAAGAGTGACTTGGGTGAGTATTTGTGGCATCACTTTTCTTTGTAAAATTTAAATGTCTCTACTGTTAACAAATCCATGCTAACGAAATTTAAAAAACACATTTTAATACACTTTCTGTGATATTTTGACACAATTTATAAATCGCTTTAATAATATAATGTGTATATACAAATTATATAATGGCTTTTTATAATATATTGTGGGTCATGGTTTTAACTATAACTTCCTTTTTTAAATCAGGGGTCCATTTGCGAAAACAGCACTCCTATATTGAACAGGGAAAGAAATGTCGCTACTGTGATACTGTGTTCCATGAGCGTTATGCTCTGATCCAACATCAGAAGTCTCATAAAAATGAAAAGAGATTTAAATGTGATCAATGCGAATATGCTTGTAGACAGGTAAGAGGATTATTGAATGGTTAATTTTGTGCTGATTTGTATATAACTAGTACTTGTACAATTGACTTAATGGAGTCATGTTTCTAAACATGTTAATACATATTTCTTGCGTCCCTTTACAAGCTAAAGATTGTCTCTTGATTAAATTTTTTTGCTTTTCAGTATTGTTACTAAATTAGAACTTTCATTTCCATATTTTACACTAGTCTTGTTTTTCCTTTTTCTTCAGGAGCGCCATATGATAATGCACAAACGGACCCATACTGGTGAGAAACCCTATGCCTGCAGCCATTGTGATAAAACCTTCCGCCAGAAACAGCTTTTGGACATGCATTTCAAAAGATACCATGATCCCAGCTTTGTCCCTGCAGCTTTTGTTTGTTCTAAGTGTGGGAAAACATTTACTCGCAGGGTAAGGATGTCTCAGTGTAGTCCCAATATTGGCACATGAATGTGTCTGAAATGAAAGTACTGTTCTCTATGAAATAATTTGCTTACCCATGGCTAGTTAGTTTCACACTTTTTTATCTGTAATATTTGAATTTAAACTAGAAATGTTATTTGCAGTTAGTTGACTTTGCTTTTGAACAATTTTACTTTAAAAAATAAAATAAAATTATTGCTCTAAACTTTAAAAAAAGGGGGAGGGGGGGTTTGAAATGTTTTAAAACCCATTCTTCCAAGCTCTAGCACCCTGAACCACTTTCGAGAGCAAGTGGCGAGACACAGGGATCTGTACATTTGAAAGGTTCTCGTGAACAGCCGCACTGTGTATTTTAACTGGAGTATGTACCTGACCGTAAAAAGGCACACTATGCACCATAATCATTTTAATGTGATTTCAGTTAGCGTGCTCAGCTGTCCCTTCACTTTTTTTCCCAAAACAAAGTTGTTTGTCCAGTACAAAACTTTTTTTTTTTTTTTTTAAATAATGCTTGTTATTGCATACCCAACAGAATACAATGTCTCGACATGCTGATAATTGCACTGGACCTGATGGTACAGATGGTGAAAATGGAGGGGATGGTGAAATTATTCACAAGAAAGTGAAGCGTGGACGTAAAAGAAAAATGCGTTCTAAGAAAGAAGGCTCCACAGATAGTGGTAAGAGTTTGAGTGACTGCAGATTTATTAGAAATAAAGTTCTTTGAAATTATTTTACAAATAAGACTTCTCAGGGGATATAACATTAATAAATATATACAGGGTCAGCCCAACTGGTAATTTGTTCATCAATAAGGCTATGCAAAGTACAGTACAGGAGGCAAGAAAATGTTGCCATCAGTAGAAGAAACATAAAATTGTGGGTCTAACGAAAGTCATTTTCATCAGATTCTATATAGACTTATAAACATATAATTGCATTATTGGAAAACCAGAATATTTAAAGTTATAATAGAATGAGGGGTAACCGCTTAATGATCAAAGGCTAAGTCTGTGTTATTCTGGTGTCCATAAGGATTTGTCCCATTTTGTAGCAAAATTGAAAATGTCTGCGTATTTTACTATGTTTAAACATAGAATATAATCTCTAGTAAAATACTTGTTATGCTAATTTAAAGGTTTGCTGTATATTTGTATTTCAGACAGACCTATGCAGTCAGTAAATTTAGTTATCATCTTGGACTGCCTGGCTCCTGAAATTATGCATAACTATAAAATTTGTATTGGCTAATATCTCCACATTTACTTTTGGTTGAAAGTATGTTAATGTGCAAGATGCTTGCTGGCATGCAAACTCTGACTGCATCATCTACTCTTGGTGCTTACTAGACTTGTGCACAAATCTTGTTCAGCTATGGTGAACCAATCAAATGCCTGTTAAAGGGACACTATAGTCACCTGAACAACTTTAGCTTAATGAAGCAGTTTTGGTGTATAGAACATGCCCCTGCAGCCTCACTGCTCAATCCTCTGCAATTTAGGAGTTAAATCCCTTTGTTTATGAACACTAGTCACACCTCCCTGCATGTGACTTGCACAGCCTTCCATAAACACTCCCTGTAAGGAGAGCCCTATTTATGCTTTCTTTATTGCAAGTTCTGTTTAATTAAGATGTTCTTATCCCCTGCTATGTTAATAGCTTGCTAGACCCTGCAAGAGCCTCCTGAATGTGATTAAAGTTCAATTTAGAGATTGAGATACAATTATTTGAGGTAAATTACATCTGTTTGAAAGTGAAACCAGTTTTTTTTTTTTTCATGCAGGCTCTGTCATAGCCAGGGGAGGTGTGGCTAGGGCTGCATAAACAGAAACAAAGTGATTTAACTCCCCATATGACAGTGAATTGAGCAGTGAAATTGCAAGGGAATGATCTTTACACTAAAACTGCTTTATTTAGGTGACTATAGTGTTCCTTTAATCATTGGACTAACTGGTCCACTCACATGGAAAATCATATGTGTTTCAAAGCTGCGTATCCAGCAAACACAGACTCTAAGGAATCCATGTTTAAAATGGAAAGAGGCAAACATTTGATTCTTTGTAAACTAATTTACATATACCCACCCAGAATCCTAGCAACATCACTGCAAATTTGTGATTTCTGTGGGAAAAGCAAGTCTTATGGCTTGACTGGTGTGCAGATTTTTGTTTAACATTGTATTGACTATCCACAGACTTAAGGTGGATTCAGCATATCAACTTCTTTACAATGCTTCAAATACGTATAACCAATGTCCACAAATCCTGTTCAGGTGCATTGAACACCTGTTTTTCGCTAGATCAACTAATCTGTGTTTTTGATTTGCAATATGAGTTGACCAGTTAGTCCAATGATTAACAGGCATTTGATTGGTTCACTATAGCTGAAATGGAAAGAAGCAAAAATGTGATTCCTTGTTGAACTCATTTGCAGTAGTAACATCAGTGCAAATTTGTGGAAGGGGTTTTCAATCACAATTTTCCCTCACCATAACTTTTGGGTTTGTGTGTGTGTGTGTATGTATATATGTGTTTGTATATACATTCACACAATATAAATTATATAAGATATATTTTTTTTTTTGTTGTTGTTATGACTTTGATTTAACTTTATGCTGACAACCCCAAATACAGTAGTATATTGATGGAATTTAATTTTCATGATAATGTATTTTAATCCCCCTTCCCATAATTTTCAGAGGACAATGCTGAACCGGAACTTGATGATGATGAGGATGACGATGAAGATGAAGATGAGGATGAGACACCAGTAGAGATAGAAGCAGAAAATGAACCAGAACCACCTCTGTCTCCTGTCCCTCCTCCTGCAAAAAGACGCCGTGGAAGGCCGTCTGGCAAAGCTAATCAAGCTAAACAAAGTACGTTTCTATTTTTTCACACAACACTGTGGTTCCAACATTAAAAGGGAAAGTCACCTCTGCACTCCTTGTGCTTATGCCTTGAGTCTATAGAGAAGTGTCATGTAAGTACATGGAACACTTGTGCATTCCTGCTATATAGTGCTGTAGGCATGATCAGCCTGTACCAGGACACCCAGACATTTTATAAAACACATAAAATAACATTGTCTATAATTTATATTTCATTTTATAAGCAGCCATATTTACAGTTGGTTTAAATTTCCCTTTTTATTTCCTCCCCCAGCTGCAGCTCTAATTCAGGTAGAGGATCAGAGCACAGGACAAATTGAGAGCATCATTGTCCAAGTGAAGAAGGAGTCAGACCTTGAGTCAGAGGTTGTGGTGGGAGCTTCTGTCCCACACCCTACTGTGGAAGCTCCTAATGGTGACCTCACACCAGAGATGATTTTGAGCATGATGGACCGGTGATGCAGGACAGACCCGCAGCTTGCTGATTGAACTGGCCTGGGCTGTGTTTAAATGGCTCATTTCTATTTTATCGGATTTGTTTTTCTTTTTGTTGCTTTGCAAAGTTTATTCAAAATTTCTTTTTTTTTTTTTTTTTTAAAGACCTGTTTTACCATTTCCACACCAGACTAAAACCATTGAAGAAAGTGGCAAGATAATACTTGCTGAATTTGATCAACAGATTTCACATTGGCCAATCAAACATCAATGGAAACTTTCATGTTCTCTGTTTTAGTGGTGTATTACAAGATAAGTGAGACTTATTGTACGATGACGATTCAGCGATGTAATCTAAATTAAGGTTTCATTTTTTTTTTTTTTTTACTCACTACAGAGACTGCACATTAATCTTGTTACTCAGTTTTTGTTCCTATAGATTATGATAGGCAGTTTAAAAAAAAAATAATAATCACAAGATGCAAAAGTGAATGAGCTACCATTAAAACAAATGTACCATTTGCCTATTGTACTTGCTGTATGTTTGTATACTACTTAAGATGTACCCTTTTTTTATTGTTGCAAATTATGATAGGGTGTGAGATTTAAACTATTTTGACTTTGTTCCCAGGTAGACAAAATCTGATTGCAAAAGAACTTTGATGTCCACTATTTAGCATGCTTTAAGGCGCCCTCCTTTTATTTTCCTTTTTTGTGAGAAACCTGAAACTCTGTAAATAACTTTTTTACATTTTAATCTTTTTCTACATTTGAATAACTATAGATGGATGAGGTAAGAAGTAATTTTATTGGCTGGTATAATGGGAAGAAAAATATTTACTTAAATACATTGGGCACAAAATGTAGAATTTTTTTTTATTTTTTTTTTAATCTTCTTTTGCCCCTTTTTGTTTGTCTTAATGGATGTTCATTTGTTTTTAACTTCCCATGCGTATTAGTGTGTAGTTGAAGTGTCAAGTGAGAGAGAAATTGCAATTAATAACAGGCAATTGGATAGGTATTGCTCCAACTGACCTATTCCTTTTAACATTGCTCCGATACTATAAAGTTTCCTTTTAATCTAAAAATAAAACAAACATAGGATTGATGCACAAAATGTGAACACCTGTATATTACATCATGGTTTTTTTGTTTTCCCTTCCTTTCTAACTTATAAATATTTTTTTCCACTGTGTACTGCTTTTTAAGAGCAATCATTGACAGTCTAAGGATAGAGCAAATCATTTTTGTAATTTTTCTTTTTTAACTCGCTGTCCTGTGAGATTTGTTGTTTTAGGAAGCCAAAATGGGGGGAAAAAAATGTAAAAAATTTGTGATGGGAAAACGATGAAGAGGATTTTGCGAATGTAACACTGTACAGCTAATAAATGAATTAATGTATGCTTTTCATGGTTTTTGATTATGGTGTTCCAGACACCACCTAGGATTAAATGTAATTTTTTTTTTTTTGGTCTGTATAAAGATTCGGAATATAATTATTTTAAAACTTTGTATTATGTATAAGTATGGAATGAGTAAGAGGGGAATCATGTTTTAAGCAAAGGTTTTTGTTTGTTTTTGTTTTTTAAACTCCTAAATGCGTAGTTTACCCTAGAATCAGTTTTTCTGAATTTTTTTTTGTTTTTGTTTTTTTTGTTTTTTTTTTCCTGTGTATTTAGGCACTCAAATTACAGATCTTGGTTAATTTAAAACTGAACAGACTGATAATCTGTGCTCTTAAGGTTGTACAGAAGAATAAAACAGAGCCTGTGGAAGACACTTTGTAATGTACAGCATCATTTCTTAAGTCTGGTTTTAAGTCTCTGTAAATGACGAAGTTAACTGTTTATTTTATTTTTTATTTATAGACTTACAAAATTGTCTTCCTTGATTTTCAATAATCTAATTTTAAAAAAATTAGTGTCCCAAATGCCCCAGACGCAAATAAAATATTAGACAATTTGAGCAGTTCAAGCTGTAGCAATCTGTGCTTAAAGTATGCAGTATCAAATTCTCTGTTCACAGCAAGGAAAAGGGTGATCAGCAATCTGAGTGGTTTGAGGAAGTAACAACAAAAGGTGACATTCATGTGTCTGTGGCAAATAATAGAGCTGACGATTGAAGTCTGGCAGGTTTTATTTTTTTATTTTATTTTATAAAAGGCAAACCTTTCTCAGGGCTGTGATCTCCAAATGCCATAAGGACTTTATAAAGATCCCAAGTAGCAGAGATCTGTAACTTTAATTGGTGATCTTGGCCAAACCACAAGATGTTGCCTGACGGTCTTGTTTGTAACTCAATGAACATAATAAAAGCTATTTTATACAAAGTGTTTTGAGAACTTAATATGTGGCTTTATGTTCTTGATAAGAATTTTTTTTTTGTTTTTGTTTACAGAAGAGAGACATTATTAACAAAGTACAACTGTGTAAAGCCACAAATCATTATTCGATAAATCGGCAATAGTAGAGGCATGGCTCATTTTCTATTAGCCATTCAGAAGTGGTGAGTAATTAAGTCCTGGCTAGCAGTGTAGGACTTGAACATTTGAAGAGCTCTATTCAATAAGATATTCAAACACTTTAAGGAAACCTAACCATGCTGACCTATCACTGGTATGGAAAACGAAAAGAAAATGGCCAAGATAGCATGGTGATTTCATTATAAGTTTAGTTTTGTCTGACCCTGTATATACCGAGACAGCAGTGAAATCGCAGTCAGTGTTCTAGGGTGAGGATACATATGGTAAGTATACAGTTTGGAAATTGCATTACAGACTCACTAAAACAAATCATAACAGAGAGACAATTCCCTCTAACACAGTGATCCTCAAGGCACCCCTACCAGTCCAGCACTTGGGTATTACCAAATTAACCATTGCTCAAATAAAATAAATATATATATATATATATATATATATATATATATATATTTAAAAACCATGACTCTAAAGCAACACATTAGCCAGTGGTTCCTAAACCAGTCCTCATGGCCCACCAACACTCCAGGATTTATGGAATTCCCTGTTTTATTCCAATGGAGATACTAACAAAACCTGGACTGTTGGTGGATCTTGAGGACTGGTTTGGGAAACGCTGCACTAGACGGAAAGCATTTCATTATTTGTGTCTGAAATCTGTAATTTTTGCCACAGTTCATAGAAGAAGTTGGCATTTCTACAACCAGGGGCAGCAACTCCTCCTTGGCTATCACTAACGGAAGTGGCAGGTGTGCTGGGCTACAGCCTTTTCCCCTTCATAATGAGCTTCACTACAGTTCATTTCGAAGCATTGGAAAGCTGTGTATGTGCCTGCTGTTCCAGCATAGAGGCTTCTCAGTGAGACAGCCGTTAAAAAAAAATAAAAAAATCTGACAAGGTGCCAATCACTGGAATCCAATTACTGTCTGAAATTCCAAATTGCTGCCATGTTGGATAAGCCAGGAAAATGTTACACATGGACAGGAATATTGTAGCTGCGGTATAATTGCTTGTATTGGACTCTATGAATTAGGTCCAGAGCTGTTTCATATATATCACACTGCTCTTCAATCCATCCATATGCTGGGGTCAGTCTTGTAGTATTTCCTTAGTGTAGTAATCCAAGGTAATAAGGCCTGTTGCGGAAGTAAGATGCATGTAGATGTTATAGAGTCTGATAATGAGAAATGCCAGGAAAGATGGCTTGAAATGAAGTGTATAAGAGGACGATCTCCCCATAATATGATCTGTTGACAAAATGCATTTGATCTCTCTTTGTGTTTCATAGTTTGAAAATCCGTACCTTCTGCTGCTCTCAGATGGAATCAATTTAGAATCCAAGGAATTCTATTGTCAATATGGGGATAGGTTTGCCTGGGTGACCACTGGTTTCAGGAACGTCATAAGTCACTAGAGTGTGGACAAAACAGGAGAAACGGGAAATGCTACTTTGTCACCATTCACATGAACTGGACTGAGTTTTGATGGTCCAGGCAAATTCTGAGATCTGACCATTCAGTCTGGCAGGAGAAGGTTTCCATCTTGAAATATCGAACACGAGAGTTGTGATGCCTCAGATTGATCCAAGAAGGTAGCACTTCTGTCTCTTGGGAACCTGAAAAAGATCAGAGGAAACAAAGAGTCTTTCATTGTGACTGGTCTTTCTTGGGAAAAACCATTCCTAGAGGAGGAAACGTGTGTGGGAAGAAACAAGAATCTTGCACGGATAGCATTGGGCCCTTTTTGAGATCCCATATAAGAGAAGAAATTAGTGGCATTTGTCAAGAAACTTACACTGGTGAAACTTTTTAACCCATTTCCCCCACATTCTGCCTCTGCTTAATGTGCCACTGTAGAGCCTGCTCTCCTGTCAGAATTCCAGAGGGTTGCCTGGTTGCTTCACTTGCCTGAATCACATTGATTTATTTTGTTTTATTTTATTTTTTTTGTGGGGCACCTGTGGTTAACACATGTGCTGAATACTTCCAAGAGCCAAACGTGTACAGGACCTCCCTATTTAAGGAGGGCTCTCTGGCTGGTTTTGGTCTTTTTTTGTGGTTTCTGAGCCTTTAAGTGCATTTGTTCTGTATTGAGTTCCTGTTTTAGACCTAACTTATTCTTTAACTATTCTTGATCTCCTGTATTTGTGTATCAGACCTAGCTTGTATGACTACTATGTTTGTGAACCAGAACTGACTTGTCCATTGCCCTATTCCAGTCTATAATCCTGACCGCGTGGCCTCACAGTCTCCTCCTCCTTGCCGCCACTGTTTGGTGACTTTATTCATTTGCCATTATAATTATGTTTTCCTTGTATATAGTGTCAGTACTGTATAACTTCCTAGAGTGGAGGTAAAATCTCTACAATAGTTTAAATAATTCACCAAATTCATGCCTACTTGCATATAAAATGCCCAGTCCTCCAAACCTCACCAGTGCTTCTTGGTTGGACATCGTTGGTGAGACACAGAGGTTGGTGTCTGCGGGAACGCGACATGAAAGCTACCCGACAGGAGAGCTAAATGTCACAGCTTCCATACTGCAACATTGCAGAATGCAGGTTGGAAGCGTATTTCTACGGGAAGAGGAGGTCCCAAGCAGCCCTCAAATCAAATTGCAGGTCTTCCGCACAGTAGTGGAACGCCAACCCTTATCTACTTGAGAAAGCCCATATAGGGTGAAATGCGTCGATATTTTTTATTGTTTCTCACTGTGATGGAGCTCCTGGAGTACCTTTGCCCAGCCAGCTTCCTAGCTGTAACTGAAAAACCTGGAGCCCTTCTGCCCCAGTCAACGCAGCTTGACTGAGGTCCTTCTGAAGCTTTTATACCCGACCAGGTTGCAGCTCTCCTTCCAAGCAGGTATCGTCCCCTCTGTCTATTCCGCTGCAGGGATTGTCTCCTCTGCAGCTTTCCGTCCAGGGACGTATCTCTACAAAGGCACTTGCAGCTCTCAGGCCTTGTTCTCTTGATTTTTCCCAGGGCTAGAGGGATTGTGAAGCCAGCCAACAGGTCCTAAGATTCTGTCACTCTGATCTCTAAAAATCCACACAGGACTCCCAGTTACAAATGGAACTAACATGCAATGCTTTACTTGAGACTAGCTAATATGATCATTACATTTGTATGCTGTGACAAACATAATAAAATTGAAATAATCAAAACATTTCACAAAATATGCAGGAAATTCTAATAGCATAATAACATATTTATAAAGGGCTGGAGAAGACCATAACCAGCGCACAATATCTCTCCTGCCTGCAGAATTAGCAATATGCAAATCTACCTGAATATGCAAATTAACCAGCCTTGCTATGCAAGTAGTGCATATTGCTGCTGCTACCAGCTGAGTTCCCTAAACAGGCTCCATAGCCAAATACACGTAGTTAGTAGCAATCCTCAACAGGACAGGCGAGCAGACAAAACATATAACAAGAAAACAATAATACACACCTTGCCCCTATAATGGATACAGGATGACTTAGACATAGGCGTGTCTGTATTTCATACATAGTGTCTGTATGAAACTCCAGGTGATGGTGACTACTGTCACACTCCCTAATAAAGGATTTGTTTTGCCACATACTTTTTTTTTTTTTTTTAATCTTTTGAACATATTACCTGTTATCTGCTTGCACTACTTGTGGTTCCTGCGGACCACCTTTTAAATAATCCCTGGTGGGGATCATTCCACCTATGCGCGATACATAGAGCGATTTGTCTGCTCTCATAAATGTATATAGTATTTTATTATTCCTCATGCTACTTTATTGGAGAGCACTATTGCACCTTTTTCTCGTTTTATGTGGTTTGCCTGATCGCTACTCTGACACTGATTAACGTGAGAGGTTTAACCTACAAGTGGGGCTTTGTACCACTGCGTGCTGTTTTATCCAGAGCTGATTTATCTCCACCACATGTTATTTGGCATTTTAATCTATGTGTTGTGTGTCCTGAATATTTGATAGATTGCTCTATTGGCTTTCCTGTTTTTCTGCTCTCTTTCATATGGCGTTTTTGAAACAATGCCTGCTATTTGAACAGTTATTATTAGTAATGTAAATTGGTGATTCACCGGGGGTGAATCTTGCTCGGGATCGTCCCCTGCCTCCTCAGCCGTGGTCAAAGCCCCCTGAAGTAGTGGAACCTCTGTCAGTTTTCACACTCTGGATAGAACAGCTGTGTCCAAACTGGCGGCACGGCAACTTTTGCTGACCAGCCCTGCCAAAAACACCTCTGCCGTGAGATACACGAGAGACTCTCCTCATAGATGACTGTGCCTTGTTAAACGAGGTAAAGATATTCACCCACTTGTTGAGCTCTTTTAGGAAGATCTCACCAAATAGTTTGCCTTGTGCCAGGGGTCCTAGTTTCTTGTCCCCCAATTCCACCAGCTTTTCGTCTATGCGAAATAGTGCTGCATGGTGTCTCTCAGACGAGAGGGCCACTTTGGTGTTACCAAGGAAGCAGAAGCACCGTTGTGCCCAATCCCTGATGTCTCTTGCCCATTCACACACCATGTCGGAGTCAAAACTGTCTGTCCTAGTAAAAGTGTCATCTGCCAAATCCATGACCCTAGCCATCGGTCCAATGGCATCAAGGAGCTTGTCCTGAGCCCCTTTAAAACTGCACTCAACTCCTTTGTGCGGGTTTTGTCTCCCCCCGCGGGCCATAAACGTGATCATCAACTGATTGAAGTTCGTGGTTTCCTTTATCCAGCAGCATGGGCCCGGGGGCACTCTGATCTCATGCGCTTCTGGACCTCCTTGTCCAAGGGTTTTCTGAGCCAGAAATGCAAATTTGGCAAGTTGGTCTGGAGGTGCCCATTCCTTGGAGTGGGTGTGTCTGATTCCTCTACGGTCGAACATCTGGAGGCTGGAGGTGTCCAGGAATACTTTGGAGTCATCCTGCGCTGTGGGCGCTTTGCTGGTTGGGGCAACTGCTCTCTGGGGCTCACCCAGAAATGTATCCTGTGGAAAGGTCGGGTCAGACCTGGACTCGGAATCCCAAGTGTGCTCATCTGGGTTGTACGCATCTGCTTGCCACTTGTCCAGCACAGATAATGCTTGTGGACGTTCTTGTTCCTCATCCGATGAGGAGAGCCGCGCCGGCCTGCGGACTGTCCGTTGGGAGGTCTCCCTGCGCTTGACATGAGCCTTGCCCTTGGCATTTTTTTGCCTTAGAGCTCTCACATTTCCAGTGGCGTTTAGGTGGTCTGGTATAATCCCTGTCAGAGTCCTCGCTTTTAATAGGCCTAGTGTTCCAGAGAAAGCCTTTTCCATAGAAGCTGTGACTGCTGCAGCAACCATGGCCTGCAGGTCGGTTCGAGTCTGTGACTCTTCCATCGCTGTGATGGAAGTAGTATGTGGCTCACCCAAGGACAGTAAGCGTGAGGGTAACATAGAGAGGAGAACCAAAACTCTGTACTTAACTTGTAATGGAGCAGCAAAGAAAGAGGAAGTGCTTCAGTTATACATGCCTCTTATATCCATTGCCTGTATTTGATTGGTTCTCAGTTTTCTCTTTACTAATCTTTGCTGCTATATGGAGTTAGTAAAGAAAGATAAGCAAAATATGAAGCCTCCTGTCATGTGGTAAAATTCACTAAAATACTGATTCTCTTAGCAGCAGCTCTAAGGTTAAAGGGTTTTTCGACTATACCTTGTCTGGACGACTGGTTTCTGAAAGCAGAATTAATACGGCATCTGAAAAGAAACCTTCTAGAGACCATTCAATTTTTACAGAAACTTGACTGGATCATCAATTTACAAAAATATCAGATTCCTTCTACAATAATTCAATTTCTGACTTTTTTGCTGGATTTCAGATCTCTTTTGCAAGTGGAGGGAAAAAAAAAAAGCATAAAGACATAAGTTTCAGTGCTTCAAAGAAAATAATTTTGTACCATAAGAAAGGCTATGAGTATTTTGGTTCTTCTTACTTCTGCTATCCCAGTTGTGAGATGGGCAAAGGCAGAGATCAGACCTCTTTAGTGGAACATCTTTGCCAATTGGTCAAGAAAAAAAAGAAGACAGATTCAGAATTAATCTTTTCTGAAGTAGTAAGAAAACAATTAACTTGGTGGAAGAAGTCAGAAAACCTAACCACAGGTCTATCTTTCCAACAAAGAAATTGGATTATCATTACCATGGACGCCTCCCTAACAGGCTGGGGTGCTCACTTATAGTCTTAATTTCATCAGGTAAAATGGCAGTCAAAAGAAGCATCCCACTCGTCGAATTTCAGAGAGATGAAGGCGGTAATGAATGCCCTGTTAGCCTTCAAACCAATAATCTCCAAGAAGACTGTAAGAATAAAGTCAGACAATGTCACTACACACAGGCAGAGTGTGCCACTCATGTTCTCAAAGATAGTATAGTGGTTTGGCTTTCTGGAAAGAAAATCTCATGGCCACAAGAACAAAAACGTTTAATGTTTGCATCTCTTCTGAGACAGGAACATCCATATTTCCTGAACAGTCTGTCAATCCCATGGAAGTTCAAGAGTGCATATATTTTCCCACCACTAGCTCTGATAGCTCAAATTATACAAAAGATCTAGTCAGACAAATCCAAAATATTGCAAATTACAGATACACAGTGTGACGAGACCAATCTTGCCACATTGCATTGGAGAAGCCTGGTTGCTCGCCTGTTGCCTTTGGATTATGGCCCCATGTTAAAAGGCTTGATTTTCCCCTGCAAAGACATGAAAGCTGGGTCATTCGGTGTTGGCCCTGTTTGAGCGGTGATACCCCAGATAGCTATGCCATGGAGCCCATTCGTATAATGAAGGGCTATGGGAAAGACTTTGGCTCCATGGCAATTGAACTGTATGTGTGTGTGTGTGTGTGAATGTGATGCATACTTTTCAAGTTATGAATAATGTGGAAAAAATTTATTTCTCTGCTTGTTATAATTACATTACCCATTGTGTAAGGTAATCGAATCACAGGCAGAGGGGAGGATTTTGTGTGGGAGTGTCTGAGTGTATTGTATGTGTTTATTGGTTGTGTTCCAAAACCCTGTGGGTGGTACTAATGTGTAAGAATGTGTACATAAGAACAATAAACCCACAGCTCTGTCTGTTCACTGCTTGACCCTCAACACGGAGCTTTGTCTCGTTCTTGGGGGGATGTATTGTATGCTGTTCCAGTTCGACTGCTAGGAGTGTAAACCTATTCGTATGGTTTTTCCTATTCGGCTGTTTACAGCATTCGTATGGTTTCCTGTTCGGCGGATTGGTGTTCTGCAGTAGCTGTGCCTATGTCTCTGGAAGGGAAGATCTACTAAACAGCGGTTTAACCCTTTTATGCCTGGGGCTGCCGTTACACCCAGTAGATAGTGTAGAAAACTGTTCAGTGCTTCAAAATAACTTAGTTGAATCCCCAAAACCATCTCCAAAAGAATAATAAAAAATACATACATACAGTAGAGCACTGAAAATACAATTAATACACAGACCTAGGAATAAAACTTAAAAATATAATAGTGCAGAAACATCTATATGTTTATACGAGGTATAAGGTAGCAATATAAAAAGCACAGTCACAAACCTAGAGCCAATATGTGCATCTGGCTCAAGTGTGAAGCATAATAGAACAATGTTAGGAGGTCATAATCCTTCTAATTGGGAGAATGTAGCTGTTTGAACAAAGAGAATCACATAGAACTGTGTGGCACAAACAAAGTAAGTACATACTTGAATGCACTTATGTGATTCCTGATTGTCAATATGCACATCAAATGGTAACTGGTATATTCAAGAGTCTTGTGCCTTTTGCATGTTCAGTATCCTTTATTGAAACAAATAATAGATATATGAAATAAATACTAAAACAAACATGTATAAAAACTATAAAATGAATTCAAAGACTAGTGTCTGTAGCAGCCAGAATGTGTTTCATCCTATTGACATACAGATATGCCTGTAAATAAAGAGGGCCCACCAGGTTAATGTAATAAAAAGGGGAGCAGTGGGTGGGCCAACAAATGATCGTAGCCCAGGTAAGAGGGTTGCCTGAATTTAAATTGCCGGTAACCCGTCCCACAACTACAGGCTATAGCCTTTATATTTGAGGTTGGGGAGAAAAGTCGTAATAATGCAAAGTCAGTTGTGGTGTGCCGAAACTGACGTACGGGTAGGCCTGTAAAAAAAGAGGGCAGAAAGATACCACTTTTTACATATACAACTTACGTGCCAAACTCTTATTGCTTCCTTAACTCTCTTCTCGGGTTGCGTTTGTATCTATTTCCCATGGGTTTGGAAAATAAAAAATACAAATTAGGTAGCGCCTGTAAAGAATAGATACATAAATAAATATATAAAATAACTTTGAAAATAGTCCAAGTAATTTAACACTAGTCCAAATGAGGTAGTTCAAAGTAGTAGGGGAGAGTCTTTGTGGAAGAGCAGACTGGTTTTGATAGTGGTGGTATCACGGAATAAAACTTGAAATCCAATAGGACATGTGGAGAATAAACAGAGAGGGAAACACCAATGGTATGGTCATGGGCGTCCGCATGGGGGGGGGCACTTGCCCCCTCCCCCCCTGGATTTTTCAGCTTGTTCTGCTATATTTCGTGTGAGATTGAAAATACAGTTCAATACTGGTTGGTAGGTGGTGCTGTGTATGGAGAGAGACAGGGATAGGAAGCTACAGCTTATCCCTGCTTCTCTCTCCTGACTGAATCTGCAGGGGAGCAGCCAGAGACAGCCTACAGATCAAGTAAATGGGGGGGGGGGCAGCCTACAGATCAAGTAAGTGAGGGATGGGGGGCAGCCTACAGATCAACAAGTAAGTGAGGGATGGGGGCAGCCTATAGATCAGGAAGTGAGGATGGGGGGCAGCCTACAGATCAGGGAGGTGAGGCATGGGGGGCAGCCTATCAGATCAGGGAAGTGAGGCATGGGGGGCAGCCTATAGATCAGGAATGATTCTGGCATAGATCAGGGAAGTGAGCATGGGGGCAGCCTATAGATCAGGGAATTGAGGCATGGGGGGCAGCCTATAGATCATGGAAGTGAGGCATATAGATCAGGGAAGTAGGCAGCAGCCTATAGATCAGAAAGTGAAGGAGGGGGGCAGCCTATAGATCAGGGAAGTGAGGCATAGGGACAAGCCTATAGATCAGGGAAGTGAGGCATGGGGGGCAGCAGCAGCCTATAGATCAGGGAAGTGAGAGATGGGGGGTGCAGCATACAGATCAGGTAAGTGAGGGATGGGGGGATACAGCCTATAGTTCAGGTAAGTGAGGGATGGGGAGACAGCCTTTAGATCAGGTAAGTGATGGACGGGGGGCAGCTTATAGATCAGGTAAGTGAGGGATGGGGAGACAGCCTACAGGAAGGGTCAGGAAGGAGAAGGAACAGAAATGAGCAGGAAGGGACATCAAGGAGCAGAAAGGGGGAGCAAGGAGCAAAAAAGGTAAAGTAGGAGAAGGAGCACAAAGGAACAGAAATGAGCAGGAAGAGTCTGCAAGGAGCAGGAAGGGTCAGCAAGAAGCAGGAAGGGTCAGCAAGGAGCTGGAAAGGGCAGCAAGGAGCAGAAGGGGACAGAAGGAGCACAAAGGTAAATTAGGAGAAGGGACAGAAATGAGCAGGAAGGGTCTGCAAGGAAAAGGAAGGGTCTGCAAAGAGCAGAAAGGGATCAGAAAGAGAAAGTTGCAGAAGGGCGCAAAATAAGCAGAAAGGTAAAGGAGTAGAAGGAGCCAAGGAGGAGAGAAGAAAAAGAAGACTGTGTCAAATGAAGGAGAAGAAAATGAGATTGGAGCAGGAAGGACAAGTGAAGTGAACCTTCCACTTTATTTTGGACACCACATCATAAGGCTTTGGTACCTGGGCCTGGCAGGGAAACTTTGGACCTTCTCATCTCCCCAGGTAAAAAAAGATAGTGTTAATATGTTTATTTTTAGCACAGCTGGGTAGGGGGTGTCACTAATTGGCTAAAGCGGTCAGCTGACACTCGAAGCCAATCAGTAGCTCCCCATTCGTAAAAAAAGTTAAACGTCAATCTGCACTTCCTGACACTCCGTTTCAGAAGCTGAATACCACTTAGTGACCTGGAGATCTGGAGCTGGAGGAAGCCTTTGGGGTTAAACCATTTGAGAGCAGTTTAACCACTTAAAGGAAAGAGAGCACTCAGGGCTTCCTGGCATCATAGGATTTTCATTTAGATGAAGTTGTTATGGTGACCAGAATGTTCCTTTAATTTGCTTAACCCCTTAAGGACCAAACTTCTGGAATAAAAGGGAATCATGACATGTCACACATGTCATGTGTCCTTAAGGGGTTAAAGGAACACTATAGTGTCAGGAATACAAACATATATTTCTGACACCCATAGTTGTGAAAACACTTTTCACCCTGGCTTTATGTGATAATGACTATGCCCCTTCCCTTTCATGACACTGTCAAAAAGGGACCAAGCATGGAAGTCATTACAATTATGCCTCTGAAAAATCCCCACTCAAGGATATATAAGGTTCTTCAGGCTTTCAATCTTGAGTAGCAGCAAGGTAATCCAACCCAGAAAATAAAAGGTGGTAGAATATAGTGCTCACTGTTTCTTTAAGTGTATGAGAAAAATATAAGAAACGTACTTACAATTTGCCGAGCAGACCCACTGGTGTACAGCGTATGGGTGGTATAATCCCCATCTAGGGATTCTTAGGAACCACAAAAGGGATGTCAGGACAAAAATAATAAAAACTGAAAAACAGGAATATGGCAAATGTATAGCCAAAAAAATCCTTTATTAAATAGAAATACTAAAAAGGTTTCTATTTTATATTTCCCATGGGTTTGCAGCATTCTATTCTTTAATTATATGTACTGGAATATCCGTGTTAGAAGTAGCCTAAGAATTTGTTGAAAATTTAGAAGGGTCGATGCCAAGTATATGAAGAGCCTAATGTAAAAATAATTGCTTAGTGGTGCATATTCCCTGGACAGCCTGCTATAGTGCGGCAGTAGGCACTAATTTATATTCGGTCCCATATTTGTTGGATGAAGGGGGATAATACTGAAGTGTCTGTTTGATTATATTTTGTGTTTAATATGGAATGCTCAATTAGCCTCTATTTAATGAGTTCATGGATAGAAAACTGGATAAATCTGATAACGTTACTGTGTAGAACTGTTACTGTAGAATCTGATAACGTTACTGTGTATTGTGAGATACCGCAAAGCCATATATATTGCTGCCTTAATGCGGTATAGTGTGAGTTTCAATGATAACTGTCAAGTATCTGAAGCACACCATTTTTTTCCCTGTCAATAGATGGCAGGGCCGCCATCAGAAATTGTGGGGCCCCTAACACAGCTCAAGGTCTGGGCCCCCGGGTGCCCGCCTCCAAATCCCACTCACAGGAATACACACACACAGACACAAAAGGACACAGACACAAAAGGACACAGACACAGAAAGATACACACATACTAACAGACACAAATACTGAAACAGACATACACACATATAGACACATACACACACACACATACTGACATACAGACACACACACTGACGTACATACATACTCACATACTGACACACACATACATACATACTGACAAACAGACATACATACTGTGACAAAAGTACTCCTTTCCCTTGGTACCTTGTCCTGGGATTGGGGTGTTACACACAGTCTTTTCAGGCTTTAGAGACACTTCACACGCTGGATGAGGTAAAAGGACTTGCTCTTTTTATTGTGGTTCCAAAATAAATGCACAGTAAGGTATAAAAGGTTGTAACAACATATATATAACAAAATCCTTGCTCTTCTGAGCACTAACTAAACAAAATAATTAGCTAACTGGGTTGGATGGCTTGTCCATTTCCCAACATAAACAACAACCTTACTGTTTCAGGGATTTTCAGCTCTCTGTTTCCACTCACAAAAATCAAACACAATCTCTCTCCTCCTTTGGCAGGGGAGTACTTAATAGCACCTGTAATTAACAATCCTTTTCAGGTGAGGTAAATTAGGATTGAAACTCTGGAACTGGGCTTCTCACCTGTAGGTTCCAAGCAACTACCAAAATGTGGAGTGGAGCACTGGCCCACCCTACTCTCCAAGTGCTCCACCCCAGGGCCCAAATATACACATATTTAAAGTGCAATATTCATTTTAACATAACACATTTCCATGGGGTTAATTACACAAAGAAGGAACCTTGCAAAATCTGGGGAGATATATAGATTCCCTCCAGCACAATTCTTTGCTTTCGGTCACAATACACATAAATACATACTGACATACATACATGCATAATGGCATACATACACATACATACTGATATACATAAATACAGACATACACACACACACACACACATATATATACATACACAGATACATACTGACATACACACACACACACACACACAGACATGCATACTGACATATATACTGATAGATATATATACATACATACTGACATACACACACACACACACACACTGACATACACACATACATACAGATAGATACATACACACAGACATACTGACCCACGCGGAGTAAGCTGGGAGGAAATGACCGGACGTCACTTCCTCCCAGCAGCACTTGCTGTGTAGCTGCAATTTTTTTAAAGGGGCCCGTTCGCACAATTACACGGCCGCAGCGCTGACCGGGCCCCTGAAGATATAGGGCTCATCAGCAGCCCTAAATGTTTGGGCCACCTGATGGGCCCCGGTGCAGATGCACCTGCGGCAGTTTTGCTGCTCCACGTGGGGCCCGGGCGGCCAGGCCCCCGCAGGGCCGCTGGGCCCATGACAACCGTCATGGTTGTCACCCCCTGATGGCGGTCCTGATAGATGGTCATTTGGGTGTAAAGAATGATCTAGTCGTTATATATCATTGTAATGTTCAATAGGGCAAGGAGGCACATTAGTTGTGATTTAAGAAAGTAGTAAGTAAATGATGTTAAATGCCTATCAGATAAAGTTTATAGTATTATGTTATAGTTTGAACTAAGGTGGCAAAAAAGGCCATAGTTTTGAATAAGATTCAGTGATCTGGAAGTTGATACGTATCTGTTGAAAACAGTCAGAGCTCTTGTTATATGTTCTTTGTGTTTGTGGATAGGGCAGTTTGTGCTGCCAACCTGCTATGACCAGTAAAAGGGCTAGTACTGTATGTAGACTTTGAAGGTTGAGGATTTATGTGTTTCCTGACAGTCAAGTGTCGTTTGAAGACATCCTAAAATGAGAACATGACAAGGTGTAAGGTGCTGAGTTATGATGGTCAAAGATGTAAACACAAACCAGATAAGCTGATGACTACTTGCTAGCCATTTGAATCTCCCAACCATCCTAGTGGAAATTAGGACCGTTGTTAATGATATTGCAGGCTGTCATGTCTGAGCACATTGATTACTAGCCCTTGCCATAAGGTTTCCCAAGTGTTAGCGTCTGCTATTCTGGGGTAACCTCAAAGAGAGCTGAGGTATCAATAAATGACGGTAGGTAAACAGTCTCGGGAGACCACATCTCTCTAATCCAGGGTTTCTCAATAAATGTTTCCCTTGGAACCCTTTGACGTGGTATAGCAAAACTTTGGAACCCCAACAAAAAAATGAGTGCCATAGAGTAGCGCAGCGCAAACCTTTCAATGATCAGAGTGTAATGTTCTCTTTTGCTGGCAAATTCCTTATATCTGGTTTAATTGTTGACAGCATGTCTGCAGTTGCGTCAAGTCGATTTTGATACTTTGTTTTTGTTGCAGAGTAGAGCGAGAATCCAGTTTCACATAAGCATGTGCTGGCGAATGGCAACAGAACTTTGATTGCCCGCTTGGACAATTCTGAGTACTCCGCGTGTAAATTACCCCAAAAAGCAATGAGAAACTTCTTTAAATTTTTTGCTTATTTGACTGTCAGAAGTTATATCAATCAGATTCTCAAAATCTACATCAGAAAAATTGGCTGGCTTGTCTTTTATGAATGGATTTAGAACCCAGTCATTACTGTTTTTATTCAAGAATAGAAAATACGGGGGGGCGGAGCCTAGCTGCCAAGCAGAGTGGACGTGCTGAAACCCAGCTCCTGCATTATCTGCCTGATTTTGGGGAAAATACCCAGTAAAACTGGCACAGAACTACTCTAACGGGCATAACTGAATTGGGATCCTCGGGGGGCAACTCTGGACACCCAAATCGACTAGCTAATCACCCGAGATCCCTAGCTGCGGTGACCGAGGCCTACAGGATGGCTGGCAGAGGGGAGACGGCCGCTCTCCTTTCCACCTACCTGCTCCACGACCACTTCGACCCTCATTCATCCTGCCCGCCCCCCCCCCCGGGACCGGTGGGGGATATCCCGGTCCTCGCCGCAAGCCCAGTCCGAGCCTATACACAGCGTGTGGACACCAGGGCCGGCGACACGTGGCCCATCGAAAATGGTGGCGGAGTACTCGCAGCAACTCAGCTTGAAGCAGCTAAGCAGAGCTCCGACTGCGGCACAGACCTCATGCAGCGTCTGGATGCACTGTTCAACGACTTCTGGGAGAAGCTCCAGCGGCGCGCACAGCGCACCAAGACAAAACGACAGGACCCCATGGACCCAAGAGAGGGGAGCTATGGGCGGCCGGGCAAGAGGGGAATTCCCTTGGGCGCAACACGAGACCAAAAGCTGACACTCACCCACCCCGGCCCACCCAGGCTGCAGGCCAAGAGGGCCTTGACCCGAAGGCGTCGGCCACATAGGCGGAAACGCAAGCGGCAATCAACATACAGACCTCCCGCCACCCCCATGAGGGGGAGACACTCGGGCAACGTGTGCCACCGAGTCTCAGGCCAGAAGACGCAGGCCTGCACACCAGCTTGGGGCAAGAGGGACACCCCCACCACCGGCCGAGCATCAGCACCTCCTCTGGACCAACCGGAGAGCCTCAGCCGCATTCCCACAGAAGGAATAGGATAAATAGTGACTTACCACAAACTCTCTTATGACCCGCATACGCTACCCCACGGGTCCAGATGCAAGTGCCGTGCCGGTGACCGCTGCATACCAGTTTGATTTCATGTGCTGACAAATGCTTTTTGCCAACCATAGTATACCTTACTCACGCTTGTTTATATTAGCCTTCTATTAGTTAAGCATAGGGCGCTAGATGTTTAATCTTATCACCGAAGAATCACACAGTTAATGATATTGCATCAGCATGAATAGACCTTGAGATTGGTGATCTTATGTTCGTTACACTCATAGTAAACCACGAAAGATAGAATGTTACTCAGATTTAATGCTTAGTCAGCCTGTTATGTAACGATAACTTCCAAGCAACTTACTGTATAACTGTGTCCATGCCCTGATAAAACTGGGCATCTACTGCTAAAAGGTGATTTTTGTATTGCACTGAGTGCTCAAGGCCTAGCCTGTAAGCCACGTGAAGCCTAGGAGTACTACTTTATCTGTACAGCTACTGATATATATATATGCATGACCTGTACTGTTCTCAGCCTAGGTTTTTCGGCAAGCAACATAGAAATACTCCTAGTTATGTCACATCCTCATACAAAACGACTCTGAACTAGCTATCTTACCTTCTTATAGCTTAAAGTATGATTGACTAAGCATGTTTATATTTAAAAAAAAAATTGTGCTTGATAAACATATGTCCCGCATGTAACGCGGAGGAATAGCCTGAGGACTGCTTTTGGGGCACCTCAAGCCTGCCTGTATCATTTTCATGCACTGCAAAAATAAAGAATTAAAAAAAAAAAAAAAGAATAGAAAATACTGATTAATAGATGTGATTAAATGGCGAAGATGATCAACAATTTCATTGCGAACTTCATCTTCAGGTTCAATTTTTGATTCTTCAAGAAAATCCTTAAGTGTTGGCAAATTATTTTGCTCTACAGATGAGGTCCAAAATTGCAGTTTATGAGACAGTGAAAATATTTTATCTCTTGCATTAAAAATATTAGTGGTTTTTCCTTGGAGTGATAAACATAGTTAATTTAATTTTGTGAATATGTCTGCAAAATATGCTACTTTAGATAACCACAGAGTGTTTGTTAATCGATCAGATAATCCAAATTTATGATCCTGGAATTATGCACACAACTCTTGCAATTCAAACATTCTAACAAGGACTTTACCTCATGATAGCCAACGGGCTTCTCAGTGCAAAAGCAGAGCAGAGTGCCTCTTTCTCCCCCTCCCCTTGTGTGTCTCTCTCCTTTCTCCCTGTGTCTCTCTCTTCCACTGTCTCTTTCTCATGTCTCTCTCCCTGTGTCTCTCTCCCCCACATCTCTCTTCCTCTCTGTCTCCCCCCTCCACCATCTCTCTATTCCCCCTCTTTCTCCCTCCTCCCCCTGTGTCTCTCTATTCTCCCACTGTCTCTTTCTTCTCCTGCCTCTATCTATCCCCCCTCTCTGTTTTATTTTTTCCCCTCCCATTTACAGACAGAAGTAAGAGGGGGGTTGGCCGCGCTCCATGCTGGAGCTGCTGGGCCGGGTGGCAGCCTCACCGGTCCGGCGGCACGCCTGTCCTGTCACTAGCGCTGAGGAGTGAAGGAGGGAGGAGCATGTCTCCTTTGCGGTTCGCACAATTCCCAACACAGCATCCTGTGCTGGGAATTGTGGGAACCGCAAAGGAGCATGAGAGAGAGACATGCTCCTCCCTCCTTCACTCCTCAGCGCTAGTGACAGGACAGGCGTGCCGCCGGACCGGTGAGGCTGCCACCCGGCCCGGCGGCTCCAGCATGGAGCGCAGCCAGCCCCCTCAAAGTGTGCCACCGGACCGGCCACCCGGTGGCACCTCCATGCTGAGCCCCCAGATGCCGCGGCCCCGGTGGGCTAATCCGGCCCTGCTACAATACTACAGTCTAATCACAAGGCTAATAGCTCTTTTATGCCTGACTACAAAATTGTGTTTGATGCTTAGATGTGTGTAAGTGATGAATGATCATCTTAAAGAGAAACTAGAATTTACAACCTGCTACTTACTTATATTTAACCTTGCGCTGATCATCTTATATTTTCTTATATTAACGTATCACACATGCACCGTGCTTTTCATCATTCTCAACTTTTTTCATTATTTTTCAACCACATTTGATCTTATGTTCTCATCTATTCATGTATCACACATGCATTGTTATCTACTTGAGAAGAAAAAAAAAAAGAGGCTATTTTTACTTGGAGCCTATTTTACTTGATTGCAATTATTGTTCATGTGCCTAGTTCCTAATGCTATTTTATGTCACGTATTACTCAAAAGCCTCAATAAAATAAAGAATTTAAAAAAAAAAGTCAGGAAACCCACATTCCTTGCATAGTATAGAAATACACGAAGGACCTTAATGAGAAACACCTATAAATGGGATAACTAGTTTGTAACGTATGTATGCCTTAAGGCTGAGTGATGTTGAAAAATTGAGATTTGATGTAATTACTGAACAAGATGTCTGTTGAAAAGAGGTAAGTGTAAATGATATAAATGATAAGAATAACCTTACTGACAATAGTAAGGGTTTTGTAATATAATAACGAGCACTTATAACAGGATTAGCCTTATTGTTATACCAAATTATACAACAATAAATCCTGCGCTCAAACTCCCACTACTCTTGGGCGGCAGCAACGACCATAGCACACATAACTACCAATGACAGTAACATCCAAAGAAAAAAGTTACCTGCATATTTCCCAAAATCCCGATGCATATTTAAATAAATGGAGGTTATTTAGTAACTCCAATGGCCATTAGATGTAAGCCCACCTGCCATGTCAAGGCAAACCTCTTAGGTGGGTCCTACGCTAGCAATTCACCTTGCTTCCTTCACCTTCCGGCAAATAAATCTCTAATGAGACAGAGAGGGATTTTTTTCTAAACCCCTACATACTTATTAACCCGTAATAGGGAACACATGGGGTGGGTGGCAGCATTGCAACATAGTTGTGTGATTCAAAAGTGAATACAAATACAAAAAAATAAGTCAAGCCCTCAAACTCCCACTACTCTTGGATGGCAGCAACGACCATAGCACACATCAGCCCCAATGTATACAGTAAAAACCAAAGAAAAAAAGAGTTATCTGCGAACTTCCCAAATCCCTATGCATATTTAAATAAATGGAGGTTATTTAGTAACCCCAATGGCCGTTAGATGTAAGCCCACCTGCCAAGTCAAAGTATATGTTCAAATTAAAGTATACTCGTGGGTTGACAGTACGCTGAGTTAATTGAGTCAAGAAACATTGAATCCAGGACGCTGGTTGGAACTGGCCTTTTAATTTATGACAGGCGGCAAAATACTAACTATCGGGGGGAAGGTGAGGCCCTGCTAGGTGCCAAGTGGCTGGGAGTGTAGCAGACCCCGGGTAACCCGACCGGTTACCTCCGCTAATTCCTTCCTTCAGCCACTCAGAAACCACTTAGGATATACAGAGACTCATTTCCCCCAACTGTACGAGACACAGCTCTGGAGGTACAACACACTTTTATTGAGCCACATGCTTTTATGCATAGTCCCATGCAAGGGGTCTTCAACTCACACAAACAGGGGTCATATCCCAGGATCCTCAACACCAGGGAATGAGGGGTCGCTGTCCCTTTATCTCCCAAATATGGAAAGCCCTCCACTCAGGCGAGGGGTTTCCCACCTCGCATAAGCGCTCCCGAATGGGTAGCAGGTACAATATACGAAACACAGGGAAAAAACACACAATACCAGTGGGAAGCACCCGAACAAGGAGTGGTTCTGCCACAGTGAGAGTCTCTATGATTTGGGCCATGGGGCTGATGCCACTGAGCGTTGTGGCGGGGTGTTAGCCTCTCAGTGATTGTACCATTTTTAATATAATTGGCTGTGACAGGTGAGGACCTAACTATGTACCCAGAAGGAGAGTGAGGTAAAGCTCTAACTATGATGTGGGCCAATAGAGGAATTTCCTCCGTGTTGAGGATGGGAGTTGGCCTCGCGGTGTCGTATTAGTACATTGAGCTGGACTATTGGGCTGCTCCTGCACCCTAAAGCCAATTCCTCTGTCCCTAGTTGTAGTTGTGGGGAGTAATGTATATATCGAGTAACATAGAACCTCTGGATGTAATAGATGAATTGTAATGTATGTAAATGTGAGATTGTAAAAATAAGGGGAATTAGCGTGTTAGATTAACAATTCGGATGAGTGAGAAAACCTAAACAATGAAAGTACTCATGAGAAAATTCCAAAGGCAGTTATAAAGTATGCGTATATGTATATATAAATTTAGTGATGTGATTAGAGTCACATGTAGCGATTTATCTTATGAGCGAAAGCCAAACGTAGACAGGTTGAATGATAAAGATGTGAGTCGGACTTATGGTTCTACAGTTATTATGAGTTAATATATTAAGGCAGATGTGGCCTGATTATGATTGATAGATAGCGTAATTGCTGACTGAGGGTAGAACGTAAAATAAGATAAGTATGTTATGTGGCCGAACATGGGTTAAATGCTTACCAACAGAGAGGTTGTACGAGGTCGGATGACTTGATAACAATACTTATATGGTAAATTTGACTGAAGTTGAATAGGAATAATAGATATACATAATTGTATGGTGTGTGAGTCTGTATGAGGAAGGATGAACTGGTAGATTGAGGCTATAGACTTATATTTGACCAAGGCTGCATAGGAATAATATATATGATTGAACATAGTCATGTGACCAGTGCTGAGTAGGAATAATAAATATACATAATTAAAAACTGTGAGGGTTAAATGAGAACAAAGCAATAATCATATATCCGACTGAGAGCTAAACGTAGATACCCAAATAAGAATGTCGTGAGGCTGAACATGGGCCAAAGCTTACCAATAGAGACACTGCACTGGTTGGATGAAGTGATAGAAATAGCTACAGTCGTGTGACCAGGCTGAGTACAAATAATACATATACATAGTTCTATATTGTGAGGGTTAAATGAG